TCCTGCTTAACAGATGAGGGAATGGAGGCTCAGAAAAGGGACATCCTTGCCCAAGGTCACATGGCTAGGGAGTAAAAGCACTGGGACTCAAGACTCTCTGCCTTCAAAGCCCAAGTTCAATTTATCTCCCCTGCAATTCTGCCACTAAAGGGTCCTCCAAGCTCAAAGAATTACGAGTCTGAGATACCAAGATTCCAGGATGATAGAAAGTCAGGGCTACTGCTGGACTGAGATAAGAATGGGAAAGGAGGGGGAGGGAGTTGAACTATGTGGATAAGGATGGGGAGACTGTGTATATTGTCAGGAAAATGCTGGATTGGGGGTAGGGCGGGATCAGGAGACTTCATCCATGTTTGTAACTAGCTGGCTAGGTGACTTTGGGCAAGGCTCTTCCCACCTCTGGCCCTCAGTTTCCCTGTATGTAAAATGAGAATAATAGATTTGATGACCTTAAGAGCCTTCCCTTTTCTGGAAGTCTGACTATGGGTCTGTATCAGAGCTAAACCTCTGGGCCCCTGTCCCAAAAGCTTTGGATTCAAAAATGGCTGAGAATCTGGCTAAATGGAGAGAGATCCAGACAAGAAGCCAGCAGAGTTGGTATTCCTAGAAACTAAGCAATGTGGTAAGCAAACATGAGGTTCCCACAAAGAACCGGTTCACTGTCCAGCGGGACTTGGTGCAGATGTTCTGAGGGGTGGAACCCAGGGTAATGAAGGAGATGTGTGTGTGAGACCTGCATGATCAAAGCTGAGGGACTGGCCATTCATTCACCTGCTGATCCCACGCCCCCAAATCTGAATAAATTAATTTGAATCATAAAGATATCTTTCAACTCCTTATGCCTGCACAATGCTGAATCAAAAGCTTGAATACTTTGAGGAGCTAGTAACACAGACTGTGTCAGTACATGGGTATCAGACAAGGGGACAGTATGGGGCAAGCAGTGTCCTAGAGAAGCTGAAGTTACCACCCAGCTCCAGCTGATGGTGCCACAAGAAATCATGGACCAGGTGTTGTCAAGTCTTGATTTCTCAAGAGAAATGGGAAATTGGGATTTTTTTTTTTGGTGAATTCTGCCAGTATTCAACTACTAATTAAGGTTTTTAAAAATAGTGTCAACCACAGGAAACATATGGGGGCCCATCCTCTTTGTAACCTCTGGCCAGCTCCTTACACTTGATTCAGGTCCTTTCTTCTTCTGTTCCCAAACAACCCTGCAAGATGCATGTTATTATTTTAATCACAAAATGGGGCTCTGAGGAGGGAGAGCAAGGGAAGGAATTCACAGACACTATGCACCCTCCATGTCCCAGCAGGCCCCATGTGAGGTGCTCTAGGCATGTGATCTTGTTTTGCCCCAGAACCTTCCCTCTGGTGACAGTTGATATACCCATTTATCAGACAAGAAAGTGAGGCTTGGAAAAGTCAAGTAACTTGCCGAAGGTCACCCACTGAGCAAGTGGGGGAGAGGTGAGGTGTCAACCCACCTTTGCCTAATTCCCAAGCCCAGGCTGTATCCCTGACACCACCACACTGGCTGCATTAGAGGTTCCCAGAGCAATGGCCCGGTACAGAGACAGATTGATCCCTGAGAGAACACACAGATCCTCTGGTCAGACATGAAGCTGGCTGGGGGCTGGGCACCAACCTGTGTTTTCATGCCTTCTGCCCAGCTCCCACCCCCAACCCACTGAGCTGTTAAGCCATTCAGCGCTGTTAAGCCAATTAAAGTCCTAACCCTGTCCACTCTGACCCTGTGGGCAGGAGAGCAGTAAGCCATGAATCCTGCTTTCCCTAATCTTAAACTCACTGGGCCCCAGCTTTGCCCAGATAAGCGTGGTTTGTTAAGCCAATTAGTGGAATTAATCTGGCATGGGATTCCTCCCAGGCTGTCAGGATCTAGGGACCCCAAAATGGGAGG